GAGTTTAGTTCAGATTTGGGTTTCAGGTCCTTCAATTCCTTGCTGAAATCTGTTTCTAGTTCGTATTTATTTGTATAATCTAGTTCTTTTTGTTTCAAAAGTTCCTTGTTTTTCTTTTTTGAATTTTTATGATTTTCACTAATTGAAGAGTTTTTGAAGAACAGTTGATCTTTTGATTGCTCGCTTACATCAAAAATATGATCTAGATGTTCGTTTTTGTTGAACAAAACGTCCATAAAAGCTATATTGTCTGCGACGCTGTATATTGTTTTAGAATCAGTTTCAATGTCTTCGAAAGTTTGTCCAATTGAGCCTTTGGATATAATGACCTTCGATTCTTTAGGGTTGTTTAACATTATAGGTAACGTTTTCTCGTCATGGTTACAATAGGTGTTATAAGTATATATTCCTTTTTGTTGTAGATCTTTATCTAGTTTGAACGATGTTCCCTTTTTGAAAACTTTGTCAGCTGGGGATATTGAAATGACACGAGTTGATTTTGGTGCTAAAGTTATGGTTTGGTCTAAAAGTACATTCTGATAACTACTTATAAATGGATAGCTTTTGCTTTTTATATTGCTGATAGCGACTGATTTTCCTGGGTACATTTTAAGTTCTAGTTTCGGTGTTGAAAAGTCGATCGATTTAGTTGAATTAGAGAGGAAATCCATACCTAATATATTAAGTTTACATCCGTCCTTGGCCGCAACCCATGCTCGAATTTTTACAAAATAATCACCTTTACTGTCAAAACTAGCGTTAAAATTTGTATATCCGAAGAGTTTGAGTTTTTGTCCATTAACAGCAAATGTTTTGGATTTTGCTTTAGTAAGTGTCAACTTTTGTATTTTTACGTATTCTAAATAGGTATCATAATTTAATAGTGAACAAGTTGCTCCAGTATTTACTAAAAAATGGGTTTCAAGGCCGTTGTTTTTATTTTTGTCTCCGACGGGATGTTGATATAGATTAATATACATTTGTGACTTTTTATCTTGTGGAGACTGTTCTAGTTTAAAGTAAGTTCCTCGCCTTCGTCATCGCTGTAATAGCCATGGATTTTATTCTCATTAAATTGTACTTTAGGGTTTCTGTCTCGACTATTTTCTCTGGAGGATGGTTTTGAATCACCTAGGGATCTTGCTTGATTATTGTAGGATGGGAATTTATTTTCGTGAGGTCTGTTTTGGTATCGCGTCCGATAATTGTCTTGTGAAAATGATCTTCCATTTCAATCGGGTATAGAATTGCTTCTGTTCCTATTTTGATTATAGTTGTTTGAGGCTGTGTTGTAAGTATTATAACGATTTGGGTTATTTTGATCGTTAAATCTATTATTGAAATTTCTGTCTCTTGATCCAAAACTTTGAGATCGAGATCTATCGAAACTATTTGTTCTGTTATTGAACTGTCTAGGATACGGAGAATATGGTCTGTTATTGTTATTTCGCTGATTATAGCCATTGTATCGATTGTTATAACTATTTTCTTCTCGAGGCCTAGATCTCCTATTATAATTGTCTGAGAATTTTTCACGATACTGAGGTGGTTTTCTGTTTTGATCTTTGTGGTCTCTATATTTAAAACAAACACTGATAGTATGACCTGACCTACGACACCATTTACAAAATCGGGTATGGTTTTGTTTATTTCTGGGTTCATTTGGATTATAGGCTGCATTTATTTTATGATCTTTCATTAGTCCTGTTAACTCCTTAAGCTGATCCTTTATTCCTTCTATCTCCAACTTATTATCAACACTACTTGAGGCTGTTCCAGTAAACTCACTACTTACTGCAAAACTTAAGTCTTTTGTTGCAATATGATCTTTTAATTGTTGCCATGTTGCGGGTGGTTTCTCAATTAGGAATTGATGAGCTTTTTGTTTCAAGCCTGGCGGGCTTAAGCCGCGAACAAAGAATTCCATTTTCTTTGCTGTTCTTTGATCATCATTAAAAATTGGATTAGGCCATCCACGGTCTACTGCGGTGCTTAATCTATGTATGTAGCTTTTAATGAATTCATCAGGTTGTCTTTTTATGTTTTCTGCTTCTATTCGTCTCCTATACTTATCTTTATCATCAGTGAATCTATCTATGAATTGATCTCTTATATCCTTCCAAGGTAAGTTTGCTGCTAATCCCTGATACCATTGAGCGGCTGGACTTCTTAATCTTGAACCAAATAAGGCTCTTTGTCTGTTATCATATGCGTCTTGTTCGTCACCTGCGTCTCCTGGTCTAGTGCCTAGGGAAAATGCTATCTTTTTCTCTACTATATCAAGAAAACCTCTTGCAACTTCATTCGGATCTAAGCCGGTAAACTTTTCGAGAGCTAAATCTGGGTATGCTACTACGTTTGCCATCTTTGTTTAATTCACTCAATGTTTTGTTAACAATATATAAAGGGTTTTGGATGTGTTGTGTACTGATCAATTGTTCGGACTGAAATAATTGTATTTAAGTTACAATGAAGTTTGCTGGGTTCAATGTATACAAATTTTTGTTAGTTAGATCAATAGTGCTATGGGGCTTATTAAGCTTTTTTAAGATGGAAGTTATCTCTGGGGTATTGCTGCTGGAAAGAATGGTTAATTCGTGAATATTTTTGTGTGGGTGTTTGGACAAAATTGTGATTTGATCTTTTTGCATATTGGTGATATACCAAATAATTTTTGTGGATTTGTTTTTTAATTTCAGTTTTAAATTAAATGCTGTTGTATTTACTTGATAAAAGTTGGTCATAGCATTTTACATCCTTTTAGGGACATAAATATTTATCTAGAGAATGATAAACAATATAAAAAATATTTAAATTTTTCTTATGAACTTGTTATTATTTTTAATTTTTGTTAAGGAAAATTTTGTGTTTTTAATTAAAAATGATTAAAATGCAAGTAGTTTTGTGCTTGGGTATATTATGATATCAAAAAGCAATCGGGAGTGAAGCAATTAATCGCTCTTCCGGTATACAAATTATGTTATTTGGTATTTTTATTTGCTGAAGAATTGTGTCAATTTTTGGAGTATATCGTCGAAAGAAGACGTATAATTCGTGTTTATCTTCGTTAGGGTGTTTTGCTAGTATACTAATATGATTTTTTTCGGTGTTAGTGATATACCATATGATGTTAGAGACTTTATTTCCTAATTTGAGTTTTAAATTTATTGTACTGACGTCAATTTTAAAATGTGTTGACATTAATTTCACGATGTTCGTTTTCTTTTTCTTAAGCCAAGTTGTACTATTTGATTAGTATGTTTTAAAGTAATGAAAACCTCTTAGGAATTATTGAATATTAACAAAGGTTATTAATAATAAGATAAGGAAATAAAAAAATTTCTTTGAGAAAAAAAAATTTTTTAAAATTGTTTCTAAGTTTTTCAAGTTTTTTATTCGCTGAAACCTTAACTGAAACCTAAAACTTTGTTCAAGTGAAGTTTTATTGATGCTATGGTATGGTTAACAATATAACTATATGCCTTTATTGGTTATTATTGGTTCAAAACTTAATTTTTTTGTTAACAATTTTCAGAAAATTTTTTGACTGAAACGATAATCTGAAACCTGAAACTATGGTAGCTGAAGTTGAGTTTTTTTAATCTTAAAATTTTCTATACGCTTTATTATATCTGGTTTTTGCTTTATCTTGCAAAAAAAGTTCGAGAAAACCGAATCTTTTGATATCTTAAACTTAGAATTTGGAAACTCAAACCTAAAACTCTTAAATTCTCTCAAACTCGGTGCATGAAAATAAAAAGTTGGTTTTTGATAGCTGGTCTAGTGTAAATTGGAATTTTGAACAGGTTTGTAACTTCAAAATCAAAAATTTGTTTGCGGAAATCTAAGTTTTTGGGGCTGAAACTATGATTTCTAGAACTAAAACTATGGTTTGACCACTTGGTTTTAGAGTTTTGAGATTGGAAATTTAGGTTTGTCTCTCTAATATATTTCTATTCCAGCAATAAAATTGCCAAAAAGATGAAAATTTTAGCCTAAAACGACGATTGAGTTTAAAAATTTGTTAGTGCATTAAGGATTCCTATTATCTTTCAATATTTCACAAAAATTTCACTTGGGAAGCAAGATTTTTGGGTCTGAAACTAAAAACACCAATTCTGAAACGTACGTTTCAGCCTTAGGAACCAAACTTTAAAATTGGTTTGGTGGGTTTTAACACCGTTAGTTTTCTCTAGAAAGTCAAATTTCGGCGTTCGGAGCTCAATTTTGAGACCAAAAAACTCAATTTTTGTGTTCTGAAACCTGAAACTAACAAAAACGTACCATTTAAGACCAGGTTTTTGACTTATGGTATCCAAGTTTGGGTTTGACTAGTTCAACTTTTGCTGTTTTACCCGAATCCGTTTACAGAAACTTAAAATTTTGACCGGAAACTATACTTATTTTAACTGAAACGTTTGAACCTATAACTGAAACCTAGACTGAAACCAAAAATTTTGGCTGGTAAAAATCAATTTTTTAGTGCTTATGCTATCATATGAAACCTATTTTATCAATATAAAGTGGATGTGTCAGTGTTTTAAACTTAGTTTTTGTTGTGAAACCTGATATTTTTGTGCTGAAACTAAAACTTGGTGTTTGGTGTTATGTGGTTAACGTTTAAGATTGGTTTTAGTGCGTAATCTTATTGTTAATTAGGTGTATATTTAAACTGTGTCAAAAAAAACTAATGATTTATCAAAAAACACTCAAATCCGTTCCTTCCTTTTTAGTTTTTGTTATTTTCTTCCTTAGTTTCAGTAATTGGTAGCTTTACTGATGGATGATTTAGGTTTAAGTTACGTTAAGGTGGATAGAATTAAAATGAGTTTAAGAAAAGTTGAGGATAAGCCTCGAGAATTGATAAAGGATTAGAATAAATAGCAACAAGCGTGGATGGTTTGAGATAATGTGATGAAGAATTCAATTTATCATACAATTTAGTCACTCTTAGATCGCACATATGACCACTTAACCCCCTCGAAAAAATAATTGAAGATATTTAATAAGTTTTTGAGCACTTTAGTCTAATACAGAATTTCGTTAATTTTAGTGATGATAACTTCAAACTGAAGTTTCGGCAAAACTTAGTGGATTACTGGACAAAACGGGTATATCTTACTAGCGGACTTAGGCAGAGAACGATTCTTTCAGAAAATTTATATATTATTATAATAATAGATAATAGTTAAGTTCATGAGCTAATGTTAGTTAGAAAGCCGTCTAATAGACCTCGAGATGGAGGGATATCGTGGGCGACTGCTAGCGCAGGGGATGCTTTCGCAAGAACCCTACTAGGAATATCTGTCAAGTAGAAGACAATGAAATTGTGTTTCTATCGAAAGATACCCATTGTCTCTGGCTTTTTGAGGTTGGAAACTAATCTGACAAATACTCACAGATCCTAATAATAATATATTTTTTGAATTTTAAAAGCTGTTTCTAGTTTGTTGGAAAAAGAATTTCTTAAGGAGTAGTTCTCTGCTGCGGTCGCACCAGTTTTACTAAGCGCTCATTGCTGGTTGAATGCTTAGTAATTTTATCCTAAGTTATAAGTCTCACCTTAAATCGTCAAATTGTCTTGACAAAAAGTAGAGTAAAAACAATAGTTAGAAAAGGTATGAATTAATTAATTGGTTAGATACAAAGCACTGGGTTATTAGATTATATAAATGAATCGAACAGCTTAAAGAAATATACCTATGAGGGGAGGTTGAGCTAATCTTATTTTGTTCATCATATTTTATCTTCTTACTAAGGTCGGTGGCTGATTTGTATGTATGGTTGCCCTTGATTTTGTCCAAGTCAGCACTTCTGGTTGGGTCGTCTGAATCGTCTTGCCGTAGTCCTTTGGGTACTTGTAGTCCAGACTTCCTCGGGTGTGCGTATCTCGAGTATCTCAATTTATAATTTTTCAAATCAAATTTAAAATGAGAATTTATTCTCTTTTTATAAGTGAAAATGGCTAGATTAATTTTAAAGTTAGGGCAGAAAAGAAAAATTATTTATTTTTAAAAGATCTGACTGAAGAGAACTGACTTGCTGCTGACTGAGCAAAATGAAACACTGAAGATTTCAGGCCAGTCCTTTTGCTCATAAGCATAAACCGGCGGCTGATTCAATCTTTAATTATTCAGGTTTCACCTGCTCCTTTGTTCTCCCTTTCTTATAAGGGAATTTTCAACTAGTTTTTATTTGATTTTTTCAAATCAAATATCTTCAACTTATTAGTCCTCTTTGAAGAAAACCGCAGCCTTCAGTTTGTCTGATTAAAAATTCATATTACTTTCTCTGATGCATCATATTGCAGGTGCATCTATGCTAAATCAAAGCAAGGAGAATTTTAGTGCAGCCGGCAAGACTGCAAAATATTTATCCAGTTTGTTTCAAGTTAAGTTAAAAGGGACGTATTAATAATCGCCGCCCTTTTAAAATATTGAGTATGAAAAAATGAGAAAAATTGGACAAGTATTCAAAAAGGAGTGGATTTTTAAAACAAGATTTTATAGTCCTAATAAGAGTAAATCAGTCAATATCTGATTTAGTGAAAAGAGGCTTTAATTTAAATGGCACGCTCCAATTTAGAATTGGGTCGTTAAATAAACAATTAGGACAATGGTCTTTTGTGTGTGTGTAGTATTTCGCAATACTACATTATGTCGATAGAATATGGGTCAAAAGGGCGCCAAAATGGTTTACCTCATCACTCGACCCCTTCTGAGTTTTTCGTTCTACCTAATTTTTTGTGTCAAAATTTGTTCTAGAAAAAAAACACAACCAAAATTAATTATTTCCACGCTCTCTTGCTTCAAAGGGTTTTAAAAATTTAAACACACCCGAAGCTTTTGTTCTCAATTTTCTTAGAAGCCGGATCAAAAAGCAGCAATCGACTTTTCATGAAAAATTAATTGATATTATGTGTCTTCCAGAGCTTTTGTTCTTTTCGAAAAAAAAAACAAAATAAAAACAAAAGTCATGCTTTGTTCAGTTTCAGGTTTGCTTTAAGAGTGCTACACGTTTGTCAAATTAAAAAAACCTTTGAAAGGAATCACAATTGAACAAGGAGAGACCATTCCTTCACTTAGACGATATTGCCACATTATTATAGAAAAGTTTGTAGTCAAAATAGTGATCGAAACACTCTGCATTGTGTTACTTGCAGAGAAAGCAACGGTATACTTGTTTTTCACAAAAGTCAAAGCTTAAGTTCTTTTCAGTGGATAGCTCTGACTTTAAGTTTTCACCTAGCCGACCCCTAGACTGAAGTTACCGATGTCGTTGTGGCTACGGCTGTCTTTTCCATTATTTCTTTCTCTCTCTTCCATAACGTTTTGCTTCCATGAGCCAAACAGGAAAGTGGCGAAAATGAAGTCATAGGAGAGACTGTTGTTGGAGACCGTTTTGGCTCTTCCCTCGCTCAAGAAGGTCACTACTGCCACTCTACCGCAACCTGAGGGTTTGGCTTCTATTTGTTCCGATGATACAGCCTGGGAATAATATCACACTGAATAAATCACATTCAATTAGTTTTAATTTACACCTGCTTAGAAACTATGGTCATAAAACCCCTCACTGAAGTTTCATGAATAAAAATAAATTTTGTTCGAGTTTTCTTTGTCAGAGCCTTTAAATGTAAAAAAAAATCGGTTTTTCTTACAAGCCCCAATTTCAGACAAACCTTTAATATGCGGGCGAAGCAACAGAGCTCCCGCAAAAAATGCATTTTAGTTATTGGTCCGTATCAAAAAAACAATTTCTCAGATCCGTATTAGCAAACAAATCTCTTGTAGGATTCCTTAAAAAACTATTGAAAACTAAAAAAAATTGATAAAACTTAAAATTCTTGAAAACCAGTAGATTGCAGAAGATCAAAAATAGAAAAATTGATAAAACCTAAGTTTTTGGAAATTAGCCAACAGATAATTGGAAAAGAGTCAATCAACGCAAAAAAAAAACTTATAAAAGTGACTCAATTTTTGAAAACTTTTCGAATTTCAATCAAAAAAATATATGGCCCTAATGCTTCTTGAATTTCAAAAACAATTTGTTTTTGGCTTTTTTTGGATGAAATTAACCCAATACGAGAACACTACTTTATTAGTTAAAGCATTTATTCCACTGGGAAAAAATAAATTCCATTTTCGAAACTAGAAACCAATCAAAGCTTTTTTATTCCGCTAGGAAATCTAAGATTTTAATTCCATTTTCGAAACTAGAAATCGATCTCGTTTTTTTGCGTTATTTCAGCTTCCATAATTGGAGAGTGCAATTGGTCTACCCTC